TCATGGAACCTTTAGAGAATTGCTGGAAGCTATAATTCCTAGGAGAAATATGCTATCACTTGTATATCTCAACAGTCTTGTGATAAACACATCCCCTCCCTATCACCATCTTGGATACATCCTTAGCAGCATTATCTATGCAGTGCCTTTCCTTCCCCAGCTACAGGATGAGCCAATACCTCAACCAAGACAGTGAGATTTAAGTCCTGACTTTGGCTAAGGCTATTTGGAGAGAGGCCCTTCCTCAATCCTATATTGCTTAGCTATAAAGATAAAAATCTAGCGTTGCGAGAAATCCTCTCTGAGAACACAGCAGATCTTCTAGAACCCTTGATTGAGCTCCTGGATCCAGACATGCCTGAAGCCTTTGTCATGAACCAATAAATTCCACTTTATGCTTCAGTCGAGGCGAGTTGGATTTCTGCCACCTCTATCAGAAAAGCTCTTGTTGGTTCACCCTCACTCCAAAAGAAAATGAAGCCATTCAATCCATCCATCCATCAGCATTTATTGAAAATCTGGTCCATGCTAAGTCCTGAACTGGGTAATGATGGGGACAGTAAAGTGATCATCATAAAACTTGTCCCTCCCCTGATGGCAATCCTAGTCTACCAGAGCTTCAACAGATAATGAAATAACAGCAGGTGGGCGTGGTCAGGGAAGTCCCCGAGGACGGGACCTTTAAGTTGACACCTAAAGATGGGTCAGGAATCAGCCTGGTGATGTGAGGCCAAGGGCAAAGGGCACAGGCACACAAACCCAGAGGTTTGGAGGACACCCCTAGGGCCAGCAGGGCTTAGAAACCTGGAAAAGAATCTTGGGATTGGAAGAGGGGAGGGGCCAGGTGGCCGTGGAGGGGCCAGGTGGCCGTGGAGGCCCCAGCTGGAGGAGGCGGGAGCAGCAGGGTGGGGACACCGAGGTGCGCGGGTGGCCTCTCCTTGTTGCTCAGAGCGTCGTGTAGAAGTACATGGCTATCAGCATCACAGGGAGCTGGTGGGGAGGCAGTGAGGTGGGGGGTGCCCCGCGGACACCCCGTCCCCCCAGCCCGTGGGCTCCCGCCGCTCACCGTCCACATCAGGATGGCAAAGCCGAACCACGAGATGCCCCAGGTGTAGCTGTCGATGGCGTGGCCAATGTGCTCGAAGCAGCCCTGGGCAGGGGGGGACAGAGGGACTTGACAAGGTGCCCCCAGGGGGCTGGCAGCTGAAGGACAGCCATTGTGCACCCTTGGAGAAGTCACTTCTGTCCCTGAGTCTTGGTGTCCCCACCTGGGCCACAGGATCAGGGTGGTATCTACCTTCCAGGCAGGTTTGGGGGAACAGGGAGGGGACTTTGAACCCAGATCCTGTGCAAAAAGTACCCCCCTGATGGTAGCCCTGAAGTGCCAGCCCAAGGCACTTGTATGATCCCCACTTCTCATGCTGCCCACAGGTCCCAAGAGTTTGAAATTCCATCCTTAGGTTTAGCCTGGTTCTGACACCTGCCCATTTAGAGATGGGGCTGAGTGGGGCCAGAGCGCCACACCAGCGTCACCTTCATGTAGATCCCCGCCCCAGCCTGGCAGCAGCCAAGAACAAAGGCTCGGGGTGTATGCCCTGGAGTCAGAGCTGGCCAAGTGGGGGGCCAACTCTGCCATTTTTCCATGGTAGGGCCTGCATATTATTCTGGCCCACGGAGCCTCGGTTTTCCCATCTGTGAAGTGGCATTCTGAAGAACAGCCACAGAATCTCACCACGTGGTGCCTGTAAGTGCTCTGCGGGGAGCTGGGGCTTGAGAAATGGCTGTCCTGTTCTGGCCCTGGTAATGACTGGCACCTGGGCTCCCCAGTCCCTGATCCAGAACATGCCATTGTAAGGTCCCAGGCAGCCAAAAGCAGTCAGTGGGACCAGTTCTCTTCTTAGTCTACCGTCTCTATCCTGGTCTTGAGGTAGTTAAAGCACCTCATTGGTTCCCGACTGCCTGAAATCCATTCCCAGCTCACTAGTGACTGACCTCTCCGTTTTATCATCCTTAAAATGGGGTAGTTGTAACCTTTACCTCCTAAGGTTGTCGTGAGGATTAAATAAGTCTGAGAGCCCTTGGAAGATTGTTTTGTACAAAGGAAAAGCTTGGGAAATGTGGGTCGTTACTGATGTCGGGCTGCGGTTCTTGTCGTTACTCTCATTTCTGGACCACCTGAGACAAGTTGCAGGTGCCGGGTCTGGGTCAGACCGATCCCGTGTGCTTCCTGATGATTTGCAGAGAGAGTTGGGACAACGAGGGAGAGAGGAGAGAAAGAGGAAGCCAGAGAGGGGAGGAGAACAGATTGTGGGAAAGAAAGAGAATAAGAAGCAGAGAGGCTGCCAGGCTCCAGGGTTCTCACCTCTAATCCCAGCAACTCAGGAGGATCACAAGTTCAAGGCCAACCCAAGCAACTTAGCCAGTCCCCCCATCTCAAATAAGATAAAAAGGGCTGGGCGGGTAGCTCAGTGGTGGAGTGCCTCTGGATTCTATTCCTGGTACAGAAGGGGAGTGGTGGTGGGAGGGAGCAGAGACCAGAAAAGGATGGCGAGACAGGTACAGCAAAGGGAAGGGACATACCTTGGTGAACAGGTAGTCTACATGTCCTAAGCGGCAGCCATCTTCGTTGAGGGGGATGAAGTTTCCCGTCCGGCGGCAGCACAACGGAGGCCAGGGGAACACCACCTCTGGAGTGGCCGCCCTGAAGGCTGATGTGTAGTTCACCCAGTCCATGGGGCCAGATGTGCCACAGCATTCTTGCTGGAGAGAAAATTGGGGATGAGGCAGACTGGGACTCAGAGAGGACAACCACTTGCCTGAGGTCACACAGCAGGGAGAGGCAAGCTTGGCCTTTGCCTCAGTGGGACTCAACTTGACTGTGTCTTGGGGATCAAAGTGTGTGTGTGCGTGTGTGTGTGTGTGTGTGTGTGTGTGTGTGTAAGGATCACGGGTATTTGTTCCAGAGCCAGGAGACTGATGGGAGATTTGGATCAAACACAAATTCATGATTTATTTTAAATCCTTTTGTCAACAACTATGCTGACAAATTGACACCAAAAGGCAGATTTCTGTTTTTTTCCTGGTCTCAAGGGATGAGCAATTTATGGCCCCTGAATGAAGAAAAAACAGGCCTGGGCAGCCGTCAAACATGGTTCAACTCCTGGCCAGGATGGGGGCTGAGTTAGGACCTCAATTTCCCTTAGGACCTCATTTCTTCCTCTTCTCCTGCAAGAGCATCTGGATTTATTTACGAATGTGGCTTCCAGCATCTGGTGGCCTGGGGTCGACTCCTTCCAGTTCTATGACTGACCCATTGTGTAACCTCATTCAAATGGCAAATCCTTCAATCTCTTGCCTCAGTTTCCTCCTTGTGAAAAAGCTCATCTCCTGTTCCCAGAAGTTATGAGGATTGAATGAGCCATCCGAGTGTTCTGAGGGCTGGGGTTGGAGCTCAGTGGCAGAGCACTTGCCTAACATGTGTGAGGCTCCGGGTGCCTTGGACAGTGCTAAACAAAAGTTAGGGCTCAAATAGTAACCCAAACAGCATGGCATTGGCACCAGAATAGGCATGTAGACCGGTGGTACAGAATAGAAGACACAGACAAACCCACATAAATACGGTAACCTCATACCAGGCAAAGGCACCAAAAACATACGCTGGAGAAAGGATAGCCTGTCCAACAAACGGTGCTGGGAGAACTGGAAATGCACATGCAGTAGAATGAAAATAAACCCATCTCTCTCACCCTGCACAAAATCAACTCAAAGTGGATCAAAGACTTAGGCACTAGCACAGAGACCCTGAGCCTAACAAAAGAAAATGCAGGCCCAAATCTTCACCGTGTCAGCTTAGAACCTGACTTCCTGAACAAGACTCGTAAAGTGCAAGAAGTAAAATCAAAAACCAATGCATGGGATGGATTCAAACTAAAAAGCTTCTTCTCAGCAAAGGAAATAACCAATAACATGAAGAAAGAGCCTACAGAATGGGAGAAAATCTCTACCACACACACCTCAGATAGAGCACCATTCTCTAGGATATATATATAAAGAACTCAAGGGGCTGGGGTTATAGCTCAGTGGTAGGGCGCTTGCCTCGCACTTGTGAGGTACTGGGTTTGAGCCTCAGCACCATGTTAAAAATAAAATAAAATAAAGATATTGTGTCCATCTTTTAAAAAAATCTTAAAAAAAAACTCAAAAAATTTAACACAAAAAAACCCCCACAAAAAACAAAACCCAATAAATAAATGTGCTAAGGTACTGAAGAGACAGAAGAAATACAATCGATCAACAAACATATGAAAAAATGTTCATCATCTCTAGCAATTAGAAAAATGCAAATCAAAACTTCTCTAAGACTTCATCTCACTCCAGTCAGAATGGCATTTATCAAGAATACAGGCAATAATAAGTGTTGGTGAGGATGTGGGGAAAAGGCACACTCATACACTGCTAGTGGGACTTCAAATTGGTGCAACCATTATGAAAACAGTATGGAGATTCCTCAGAAAACTTGGAATGGACTCACCATTTGACCCAGCTATCCTACTCCTCAGTTTGTACCCAAAGGACTTAAAATCAGCATAATACTGGGATGCAGCCACAGCAATGTCTATAGCAGCTCAATTCCCAATAGCTAAACTATGAAAACAAGCAAGATGCAGTTCAGCAGATAACTGGATAAAGAAAATGTGGTACGTATACACAGTGGAATATTACTCAGTTATAAAGAAGAATAAAATTATGGCATTTTCAGGTAAATGGAGCTAGAGAATATCATGCTAAGTGAAATAAGCCAACCCCCTCCAAAAAAAAAAAAAAGGCCAGATGTTTTCTCTAATAAGACAATGCTGATCCATAATTGGGGGTTGAGTAAGAAAGAATGAAGGAAATTTGAGTTGTGCAGAGAGGAGTGGGAGGAAGGGAGGGGAGGGGTGTGGGGATGGGAAGGACGGTGGAATGAAATGGACATTAGCACCCTATATACATGTATGATGACAATACTGGTGTGACTCTGCACCAAGCACAGCCAGAGGAATGAGAAGTTGTGCTCCATTTGTGTACAATGTGTCAAAATGCATTCTGTCATGTATAACCAATTAGAGCAAATTTAAAAAATTTTAAAAACTCCAAAGTTAGTGCTCAATTAATGACTGTTCTCATTGTTATCATCATCATCATCGCTATGGAGACAATATGGATTTAGGCTGCCAGGTTCAAATCCCAGCTCTGCCACTTACCAGCCTGGCCAAGGGACATTCCCTTTCTGGACCTGTGTACTCTCTGGAAGGGCAAAGCCGTCCCCTGGTAGTGACCCCGGGAATGGATGTCTCTGAAGCACCCATTCATCTACCCGTGGACATGACGGGAGCCCTGTCCACAGAGGCCAGGCCCACTCGGGGACCACCTGGCCCACCTCAATCATGATGCGATCCCAAAGGCGGGTCAGCTCCTGGCCCTGGTCGGAGTCTGCGCTGTAGAAGGTGAGCATCTGCTTGGTGATGAGGGACGGGTTGGACACCATCTGCGGGGGACACGGGAGAGCGGGAGCCAGCGGGGCTGGGTGGGGTCAGGGCGCCCTCCACCCTCCCGACCCGCTGCCCGTCCGTCCGGGGCGGCTCACGTAGTCGCGGTGGGTGTAGGAGGTGATGCAGGAGGCGCACTCGAAGATGTAGACGACCAGCATGAGCACCAGGTACTGCGGAGACCAGGGGCACAGTCAGCCCCGCAGCCTGGCCGCCGGGCCACGGCCCTTGAGGGACCGGTCCTTGGGTAGAAAGGGCTTTGGGGGGCTGTGGGGTAGCTCAGTGGCATTGTGTGAGACCCTGTTCTGTCCCCAGCACTGCAGACGGAGAGGGGGAGGAAACAGGATTTCTAAAAACCAGTGTCAATGGCCACATCAGTGATGGGCGGGTGGGAGCTTACTGTGCAAGTCCTTCAGCTTTTCTGCACATTTAAAATATTTTACAATGAAATAGTGAGGGAAATGAATGAGTATAAATGTACAATGTATTCCCCAAAGTTAATTACTGGCTTGGAATAAGTAAGATAAATGTCTAATAGGAGAAGGAAGAAAGAAAAGAAAAGAAAGAAAGAAAGAAAGAAAGAAAGAAAGAAGCAAGCCGAGTGCTGTGGTGCACACCTGTAATCCCAGAGGCTCTGGAGGCTGAGGCAGGAGGATCACGAGTTCAAAGCCAGCCTCAGCAAAGGTGAGGCGCTGAGCAACTCAGTGAGACCCTGTCTCTAAATACAAAACAGGGCTGGGGATGTGGTTCAGTGGTTGAGTGTCCCTGAGTCCAATCCCTGGAAACATTCCCCCCATTAAATTAAATTTATAAAAAACACTTAAAAATAAAAAGGGCTGGAGATGTGGTTCTGTGGTTAAGCACCCATCAATTCAATCCATGGTACAAAAACAAATAAATAAACAAACAAATAAATAAAAGTATATTATAAAGACAACCAGAGACATTTATTTAAGCATAGACTGGGTAGTGCAAGGTAGGAAGGAATTAGGGTCAACTGTGCAGTGTGTACCAATGTCATAAAGGGGGTGGATCCCAACAGTTGGTGTTTCATGAAAATTCTCCTCCTGCCCTCAGCCCTCACCCTTAAGGCAATGGGACCTTGGGTGCTGATGTACCAGCTCCATTGCTGAGAAATGGGACGATATCACGTAACACGCCCTTCTGCTTTCAGACAGTGTCCTGATCGCATAGAGAAATGTGCACTCAAGTATTTACAGGTAAGAGACTCTGCGTCTAGAAAGTGCTTCAAAATACCCCAGGAAGAAGAAATGTGGCCAGGTGGAGGGCGGGTGGGGGAGACAGTGCGGCGCCTGTTGCTCTTGGGGAAACAGGTGAGGGGTTCACGGGGCTCCAGAGGCCATTCCCTCTCTCTGTTTGAAATTTCCCCAAATAAATTTTTTTTTCCAATTCTGTTTTAGTTAATAACAAACTGAAGGGGAGCCAGACGCAGACACATATGTATTTTTTAACTGGTTTGGTGGACTTTTAGGACGTGGGTTAAATTGTTATGCTAGAAAATTAAATATAGGATAAGAAAAAAAGATGAAAGAAAGGGAGGGAGGGGAGGAGGAAGGAGGAGGAAGATGAGGAGTCCATTTTACTCAGGATAAAACCACAGTCCCACGAGGCCCAGCCGACTGGGCACCTTCTCACGCCCCACCCCCACCCCCGTCCCTCTGCCTGTCTGCCCACTGGCTCCCGGGCTTCCTCCCTCCTTGGCTGTGGCCCCAGGACCCCTGTCCCCCAGCCCGCTCTGGCCTCAGAGCCTTTGCTCATGCTGTTCCTCACTTGGAATGCTCTCCCTCTAAATGCTCCCTGGCTCACTCCCCTGCCTGCTCCAGAGCTTTTGTGAGCCTGCGTAAGTGACTTCACCTCTCTGAGCCACAGCTTCTATTTCTGTCAAGTAGGGTCACAGTGATGACGACCATAACGGTGACAACAAGGATGACAGTGTCTCGTGTGGAGCTTGAGGAATGAAGGATCTAATCCATCTGAGTCATTTAGCGCCTGGCTCGAGGGGTGGCTCATTACGTTGGGGTTCCGATCCTAGCCCTGCTGCTACGGCCACCCTGCTGTCCAGCTCCTCTGTTTTCTTCCCACAGTGGGGGTCACAGGGAGCCTGGGCTGGGGGACAGGACAACTAACACCTGAGCAACTCTGAATGAGGCACCAGGAAGAGTCCCCGTAGGGGCCACGGTGGTGGCGGTTGTGATAACTCAGCACGCCATCTGTCCCCGCCCCACCCCACTCCTGCAGCCTTACCGTGAGGATCATGGACCGCCGGCGGCAGAGTGCTGCTCCCACACCCAAACTGGCCACCACGAAGAAGGAGAAGCCGCAGAAGATGGCAATCCAGGCCCCAGCGAAGACGTCATCCTTGCCCGAGACGCCCATCAGTGGGTACACCCGGTACTGGTCAGCTGTCACCCATACGGTCTCAGCAAACAGAGCCAGGCCTGACAGCTGGACAGGGCGGCTGGTGAAGAAGGTCTGCCCAGGGCTGGCGGCCCAGCTGCCCTCTGGGTCAAGTGGGTACACGCTAAGAGTGGCAAAGCCCTGGTCCCCCGTGAGCAGGGATGAGACTGGGTGGAGGCCAGGAGAGGAGGGAGGGCCTAGCCAGCCCCCACATCCCAGCTGCCAGTTGCTTCAAAGGTAAAAGATGTCACATGCGAAGCCCAGAGCACATGACTGGCACAGACAAGATGCCAGCCCACGCTGCCTTCCCTCAGCAGTGCTGTTATTCCTGGGGAGGGGAATTCATGGCCAGGTCCCTAAAAACGCAACACTCCGCTGTGTCCCAGGCCTTGTGCAGCTATACTTTACGTGTGATAAGCGCCACTGTCACCAGCTGTAGTGTCCTATGGTTGTTCTGGTCATGCAAATAGTGACCCTGTGTGCCCAGCTCTATTCTAAGCACAAGAATTCAAGAACTCATGCTATCCCCACGGCATTCCTGTTTCCTCTCCACTTTACTGATGAGAAAACTGAGGTCCAGAGAAGTTCTATCACTGGACCTGGGTCTCACAACCAGAAAGTGGCAGAGCTGGGATCTGAACCCAGGCTGTCTGGCTCTGGAGCAAGCAGGTATATTTAAAGACAATGTCAATGAAAAGCCATTATTATGGTTTGGGGTGTAGCTCTGTGCTAGAGCGCTTGCCTAGCATGCCTGAAGCCCTAGGTCCCATCCCCAGCACCAAAAAAGAAAAAAAAAATAGACATTATTCATTTTGGTGGGCCTCTTGTGCCGAGCAGTCACTTGATCATGGTAGCTAGCGTTTGCTGAGTGCTTTTTTCTCTGAGTCGAGGGCTGTACATGGACTCATCTCTACAACAGTAATCCATACATACAACCAAGACACAATCTGTCGATAAGGAGGAGGAGGAACAGAGAAGTCAGGTTGCTCCCTTGAGGTCACGTAGCTAGGGAGAGGCAGAGCTGGGTTTGGACCAGGTTGCTGTGACTTGAGACTAAACACAGGTCAACTGGAGAGTCCTGGGCCCCCACCCCAGGCTCAGGGTCCCCCCACACACACACCCACTTGGCTTCCCAGCACTGCGGCATGGCTCACCAGAATAATGATGTTGCCTACGACCAACAGCCCCACCACAACCGGAGATCCCTTCTCCCCGTCTGCTGCTGCAGAAGCCATAGTCCTGCATGACATGGGCAGAGATGAGGCCAGGAGGGGAGGGAGGGAGCAGGACTCCCCATCTCCATCCCACACCCAGAGGCTCAGGGCTACCAGAGGATGCCCTGCTCTCTGCAGGGGCACAGGCTGGTACCCATGTGCCCAGCCCCCACAACCCCGGCAGTGAGCCCTTTGGCAGCAGAGAAAGCCTCGGTTCAGGAGGGCAGTCACTGGCCAGAACTCAGCACTGGCCCTCCTGGACCTCACCCCTCCCGGCTCCCCCTGCCCAGTCCAGACTCCCAGGGTCCCCACCTCACCTTCTCTGCCCAAAGCCTCTCTGGTCAGCCCCACCCACAGCAGCTCCCTATATATGCTCAGGCCCCTCCTTGGGGCCAGTCTCCAAAGAATGGAGGAGAGTTCTGGAGGAGGGGACAAGAACCCAGAGGGCAGACCAGGATGAGAGACAGATTTTATGAGCTCCCGCCATGCAAGTGATTTATACACCTGACATTCTAGATTGAGCTGATATCCGGCCACCTGGACAGGGTGGTGTGCCCATGGCCGCTGGTTCCCAGGCTGCAGTAGGGGAGGAGGGAAGGTTGGGGGGCTGGGGACACACCCTGATATCCCAGGAAATGGGTTTTCTTGGGACCCTGAACCAGCTTCTTGTCAGGGCCACCCGAGAATCCTGAATCTCAGAACTGCCACCTCTCCTCGGTGTGAACTTGGGCAGGTGGCTTCACTTCTGTCAGGAGCCCAGGTGGAGACCCAGGCAAGGACCCAGGGACCCCCAGCTCCTATCCTGGCAGGCAGGGGAGGAGGACAGAGCCAGACCAAGGCAGGGCGATGGAGGCTATAGTGGGAGAGGTGGAAGGCATGCTTAGGAGGCCAATTATAGAGGCCGTGGCTGAGGAGAGGATGATGAGTGAGAGGAGTGTGTCAAAAGAAAGGAGGGGGGCACATTGAAGGGGTTTAGTGGGAGAAAAGCAGCCCTCCCCCAACACACACTCACACAACCATAGCTAGAGGTTTCCTCAGGTCGTGGAATCAAAGACATCTAGGAATGGCACACCGGCAATCCCAGGAGGCTGAGGCAGGAGGATTGCAAATTCAAGGCCAGCCTCAGCCACTTAATGAGACCTTGTCTCAAAATTTAAAAAAATGTAAAGGGGCCAGGGTTTTAGCGTAGCCTGAGTTCTGGCCTAGTATGGGTGAGGCCCCGGGGTTCAATCCCCAGCCCCAGGGTTGGGGCTGGTTGGGAGGGGGAAGAGATCTAGAATGAAATCCTAGTTCTGCCTCCTCCGTGGCGTGCACATCTGCAAAATGGGTGCTCTCAGACCACGTGCACGGGCGGCGGTGGGAATTGAGCGAAGGCACCTCTGCAAGGGATAAAGGCGACCAGTGGCCGCACCGCGCCTCACGGCAGCGCTTCCCAGAGCCGCATGATCTCTCCTATGGCGCCCTCTAGTGGCGAAGGGCTGATCCCGCAGGCGAAAACGAGGGTTTGGGGCCTCCAGACCTTGCCCAGGATTTCTGAGCCCCGAGGCCAGGGCATTCGTGTTTTCTCTGAGAGTCCACGCTTCCCCGTTGCATGCGAACAAATAGCACCTACAGTTCCAATGTCAAGACGCCAGCCTCAGAGACTTAGACCCTGGCTCAAAATAAAAAGGGCTGGGGACAGAGCTCAATGGCAGAACGCTTTTGGGTTCAATCCCCTGTGCCAAGAAAAACAAAAACCCAAAACAACAACAAAATAAAAAGAAGACACTGGCTTGGTTATTAAGGTGCACGAGATGCTTTCCAGTTAGAATGGTTAAGTTGGTATGTCAGTCCACTTTATAGATTTAAACTAGTTTTTCTCTTTTTTAAAGTTTTTTTTTTGTTTGTTTGTTTGTTTTTTCGTTGTAGAGGGCACAATACCTTTATTTTATTTACTTATGTGGTGCTGAGGATCAAACGGAGTGCCCCACACATGTGAGACAAGCACTCTACCACTGAGCCAGAACCCCAGTCCTAGTTTTTCTCTTTTGATTTACATTTATATTAAGGGCTAACAAGAAAATTTAAATGATAATAATGTGCATGAACTGTCAAATACATCTTACAAGTTTGGCTTAAATAATTTACAAAACAGCAGAGCCATGCCACTAATTTGAAATATTTCAAATAGTTGGCAACTCTTAGTATTTGCAAGTTATATAAAAGGTCCAATAAAAGCAAAAATGTTGTCATCAATGGGGCATTAATATTGCCACTGGTCATAAAGGGTCTCATTTTGGTTTGTAACATGAAGCAAATGTTCTTTGACTTCAGGCTTGAGTTTTCACTATTATTTCTTGCTGTTCATAAGTCAGTTTTCCAAAGAATGAATGTGACGTGCTAATTGTTGCCTTATAAAAACTACAATGCCATTCTCCTAGAGCTGAACATATGCCTACCTATGACCCAGCCATTTGTCCCTGGGAATTTCCCCACTTCTGTCTATCAAATGCAGTGAATGTAACTCAGAATATTCCCAAAGTGGAAGTCACTGAAATAGCCCTCAGTAGTATAATGGAGCCAGGAACTGTGGCAGACATCTGTAATCCCACTGGCTGGAGAGGCTGAGGCAGGAGGATTGCAAGTTCAAAACCAGCCTCAGCAATTTAGCAA